TAATTCAGAACAAAATAAAAAAGTTTTTTAAAAGAACTGCTTATAGTAAATTGAAAACAAAATTCTTTAAATGCGGTTGAGATATCTGTGAATACACACATCAGTAACAAGAAGCTCTTCACTTCTAATGTTAAACCCAGCTTTTCCATAGTGTTTATACTACTTCAGGAATTTTTGTTTAATTTATTTCTGTAATGGTACAGATCTGTAGCAATTATATGTGGAAAAGATGCTAGAGAAATTACATGTGAGCAAGGATGTGTCCTCCCATGTGATGACTATTTTTGCTTTTGTGAAATATAACTTATGACCCCAGCTACTTTTGTTCTGCCTTCAACTTCCCATCTGATTTTGTCTTTCTCTCACTCGGATGCAAAGAAGAAAAAGAGTGACTTCTAAGCTGTCACTGCTGTTAACATGCAGACCACAGCTTGAGAATGACTTTATTTAAATGTTTCTGACTTAAAATAATTCTGTCTGTTTGTCCCTCATTACACATATTTTGTGTTCGTCCCATGCAGCAAGGATTGCTTTTGCTAAACAACAGGATATTCCTCTTGCTGTTATCCAAGGCATGGCATGCTGATGGGCTGGCATCCCCCACACCAGAGCTGATCACAGACTGTTTTTCTGTGAAATGATTTGGTTCCTCTTGGAAATGAAGTCACCGAAAAGACACTGGATCAGAATTGCACTATTGTGAGGACTCTGTACGTTCTTTTACAAAGCTTAGCAGAAGTGTAAGGGTATTGTGGTAACTGCTAACAATCAGCAGTGGATCTCCAGAGCTACATGACAGAGTTGAAAGGGAAGAGAAACTTAACAGGGATATAAAGTATGTCTCTGAGTACAGTACAGCCTGTCGTCAGCCAGCAAGGTCATCACTCAGTCCTGGAAAGGACAGATCTGGTTAGACAACTAAAAAGGGACATTTCCTACCCCTGCAAGTGCTGCTGCATGTCCTGGTAAAAGTTTTTGACAGATTAACAGTCTTCCCTCCTTATGAGAACCAGTACATGGAAAACATACCTATTGCTTTCTTATTAGAATATTCCAGTGTTGTTTTTTCAATGTTAAAAAGGACATCAGTTCCCTACCCTCAAATTGTACAACATCTCATTACTGGTTAATATTGTTCACATGCTGCTGCAGAGGGAGGGGGCCAAATTCTGATATCCTGCACAAGCATTATCCCAGTGTTCTTGAAAGATTTGCTGTGATGACAAATGGTTTCTCTTAGATTTCTGCCAGGCTGAGAAAGGCAGGGCAATAGAAGGACATCATTAAATGCCTTGACATGTGTTAGTGATGTAAGGCCCAGCTGTATCTTAGGGATCTTTAGAGCTGATGGCCAAGATTTACTGAATCTTATGTATGCCATGAGGTACAATCAAAACTATTAAGACAGATTAATATAAAAACATGAAATCATATTATTTCACATCACCTAGCAGGTTAAACCTGGAAGAGCTGTATGTTGCTATCAGCAGCCTGGGGGTCTACGGTATGTAGTCCTGGGGCCTTAGATCTCACCTTTCCTGTGAAAAGGCAGGAACTTTAAACCCAGAAATGCGATGCTTCTCACTCTGTGGACCTGGAGATCACCTGCAAGCAATCTGCTATGTAGGATCTGTGATGGAGCATCCTCATAAGCATAACAAGAAGCAAAGTTAGCAGGAAGAAGCAATCGGTTTGCCCCATTAAAAAAGTAACTGGGGAACAGTCTCAAGTTTCTGAAAACAGGAGTCTCAGGTCAGGCACATCTGCAAGCTTGTCTACAGCTCCTAGTTAAAACCATGGCTTGGTTTTAGTAAAATTTTTTCTCTCTTCATAAAGATTGGTCATTTTACAACTATCTTGGAGACCTGCGCTATCTGTCACACAGCTGGTACATCACAGTTTTTGGGACATAGCAGCATAGGTATTTATTTTCCCATGCCTAGAAATTCTTACGCAGGCAGTGAAGGACTTACGTTACTGCATCTTTCTCATCCATTCTTAAGCCTGTCTTAGTGTGCACCATCCCTGTGGTTGTGTTTTGCTTTACAGGCAAGGTGAGCAAGTTCAGCATGTCTGGGCATGGCTCAGACATGGGGGAGACAGTGCCTGAAGGAAGCAGCACAGTGGTTCAGGAGCCCACCTTAGCAGCCTCCAAGGCTGTTAATCCAGCTGCTTTGACCGAGTGAAAGACCGGTTTGTAATGATTTCAGACAATTTTCACTGTATTTATTGAGCTCCTAAAGGCTATGGTGGTGTAAGGGGAGGTTATCCCTTCATCTGTTGTTGTGTGCTGCAGCTTTATAACACACAGCAGTATCAGCTGGCATCGGGCGTGCGATGTCCCTGGTCACGGAGCTACGAGTCACCTCTCCCGAAGAGGCAGAATCAATGTCTCTCTGTGTAAACATCCCAGGTTTGAAGTCCTGTGGTTGTTTAACTCTATTTTTAGCATGACCCAGAGAGACTCTGAGAAGGAGGCAGGTGTGGCTGGTAGAGCAGTGAAAGTGCCTCTGTCTATGTTAATGCCGGTTCCCCATAAGCAGCAGGTTTAGGGCTCAGGTTTGCCTGGTTTGCGCCAGTTGTTGGAAGCCTTTCTGAATTCATCTTCAAGTAAATTTCCTTGAGCCAAGTGAGCTTAGGGTCCAAGATTTTATTCTTTTTACAAGTGCTAATATATAATTGTCTAGAGAACAAGTGACTGTAGCTTGTTCTAATTAGTTAAGCAGAAAGCATTCATTATATCCTGATGTTTTGCAGACACCTGAGCAGGATTTCTGAGAATCTTGGGGACATCTGTGCTTTTTCTGCTTCTCACGCTGGCTAATGAGGAATAGTACGCAGTGTTTCTCTCTGCATCTGATCTCTCAGGCTGGAGGGAGTGAAATTACCAATAAATGGTTCATAGTTGTATCTCAAGGGCAGGACATTCTCTCTGCTAATTGGGAGAAAGGGGGAGAATTCTTCTGACCGGTTTCAGAGGACACACGTCCCAAATCATGAAAGCATAATCTCCTAATAATTCCAAAGGATTCTTGCTCAGACATTTAAGCACTTAGAAATGCTTCCTCATAAAGAAAAGCTTATAGCATATTTCCCAAATGTCTACCACTGCCCTTTGAAATGCGACAAAGACCCTGTGGGCACAGTTCTCTGCTCAGACATCTTGTCTGTGCAGCGGTCTGCACCATAAATCCTGTGTTTTTACAGTTAAGTCCCATGTGCAGAAATACAAAATATACATCAGAGACTGCATTGCAGGTAGAAGAGGCAGGCTTAGCTTTCTAGTAAAACAAAAATGACGAATACTGAATAGTTTGCAGGAGTCCAGAGCTGGCATTTTCTTTGAGTGGATCCAACGCCAGGTTCACTTGTAAACTGGACAGTCAGATCAGGGACTTCACTGGTCTTTATGTGCCATCATAAAGTTCTCATTTCTCTCTTTACTCTTAAGTGTCAAGTGTACTTTTGTTTTTAGTGAAAGACTACTATAAGGATATGTGAGAAAAAGTAATAGGTTCTACAGTGACCCTGGCTCTGTTGCAAATCGCACCTTCTGCCTCTAATTTCTAAACCTGCATTATCCAGAAAGAGTTTTGCTCAGTTGACCATGCACCCTTATCTCCCATTTTTGCTCCTGCCAAAGTGTCTGAAGAAAGTTGATGGCCTGTTTGCTGTGATCTGATCATGCATTTGAGTGTTTTTATCTAAGTTATGTGAAAAGGACTGATCTGTCTGTCATTAAATATTTTCCTGCTCACACTAATGTTCAGCATGGTTCGTGGCTGTAGTAGCCGGAGGGGTTTCTGTGTCACTGGGAGGGGAAAAAATAAATGGGTCACTCAAAACTGAAGGTGCTGTGAAATGCTTCCATCAACTCATGACATACAGGAGAGAGTTTGAGAATGCAGTGGGTTTGTTTCACATCATAGCAGTGAATTTACAAATAGAAACTATATTTGATACTTTTTTTCCTTAGTACAGCTCATTTTTCTGTCATACCCGTTAAATCAAGGTGGCCAAGGGCTGAGCTTTTTCATAAAACTGCCATGCGTAAGTGGGAGAGACACTGCCTGACCCCAAAAGATCACAGTCTGAATGTGTCAGACACATGAAAAGTTGGAAGGAAAAGAGGTACAGAGAGAGAAAGTAACTTCCCCACGGTCACATAAAAAGTAGCAGGGTCCAGACTGTACCATAATTCTCATGCCACTAACCCTCCCCAAGTTTTGGACAATTTCCTGACAGTACCTATCCAAGTGGGGATCCTTGTTGTGAGTTGGGCTCCAGAGAGCTATGGTCTCTAAGCATACTTTATTTTGGGAACGGTAATATTGTGACCATGTCTGACAAAAGTAAAGCATTTTTTCAGCCCATCAGCACAATTATGACATCAGTCTGCAGCCTCTGAAAATGAATTTAAACAGCACTGACAATATCAAACATGATTTGAAGTGACTGTATATTTTGTGCCTCACTTCACAAGGCTAAGATGATGATTTCCTGTATTATCTGTAACATGATTAGGTCATTTCTTGCCTACTCATGTTTCTGTACGTATTAGCTAGGGCAACAGTCATTGCCAATATCGTCTCCAGGTCTGAAAGATCTATACCAGCTTCCCCGTAATTTTTATTCCAGTAATTGAAACACTTTCAGATCTGAAAAGAGATGGGCAATTTTCAAAGTTAGGAATAAGAATAGGGGTTTTGGGTTTCAGTGTGTTTTGTGGGGTTTTTTTATTTTAACCAAGATTAACATCTGCATGGGAGAAATATTAAGAAAATTGCATGAGGAATTTTCCAACTACCTCTGAGTATAAAAAGGAAATTTGGAGTGCACTGCAAATATGCATTTTTTGTGCCTGCCTTGTGTTCTGCTGCTGAAGTCTGCAGTCAGCTCTTTCATGGATTCCTGGAAGATATAAATGACTCTTCATTGGACCATAACTTGAACATCTTCATGTTAACACATTCCTGTTTCCTCTCTCCCTCTTTTTTTAGATCGAATATAAGCTTTGCAATGGGTCTGACAAAGAGTGTGTGTCTCCCACGGCCAAATTCATGAAGAAAGAAACACTAAAGGTATGTGCAAAGCAGCTGATGCTGACTTTCTTTTGCAAAACAAGTAGTACCTTCCAAACAAACCATTGGGAACTACTCTGAGTCATTTCCCAAGACCTAGAGAAGCCTCCGACTCTTCTAGGAGTCATTACAGGCCAAGGGCATTTACAGGCTTTATATACAGGATTAAATTATATACTGCAAACAGAACAAATCAGTGTAATTATTTCACTCCATTCATATGTTCCAGAGCCATTAGGCACCTCAAGAGGACTGTAATCCTTCACTGGTCTTGTTAGGAGGGGTATGCTTAGGCAATCTGAGCAAATTATTGCTTGAACACTTGCTTGTCTACCAAATCAAAAGTATAAATAATTTGGATGAAATTAGATTTAATCTCTTTAATTTCAGGGGTGGGGAGGACTGGGTATTCAGCCTCTTTTCATTCGCCCTGAAGGAAAGTCAAATTAAGTTATATTTAGTGGAACTTCAGGAGCAAAGAAAATGCCTGCTATCTTGTTATGTTTTTGTTCTTCCTTGTGCTTGTTTCTGGGGAACCTGTGCTGTATCAAGTTCTAGCTGTGCTATACATAGCTGTCCTTAATGCATTATGTTCGTTTCTCCCCCAAAAAAGCCATGATTACACCTTCTGTATTTTCTCTGTTCTCAACCAGGTACAAAAAAAAAATTACAGACAGGAGAAGAAAAGAGCAACCAAACAACTCTTCAGTGCTCTAAAGGATCCCAGTGTAGTGATCACAGCAGACTGGCTGAAGGTATTTAATACAGACCATTGCTTCTGAGGCTGTAGAAAAAAAGAAGTGAGAAGTACTTGATGTGTCTCAGACTTACGCAGTAGCACTTTTTTGAGTGAAGGAAGACTGAATAATTTTGAGTTGAATTACTGTAAAGCCATACTTAAAGAACCGCTGTAGAAGTGGAGTTATGGGGAATATTTATTTTCCATCTTAGCCTAACTCAATCCATCTATTCCATGTCCTTAAGTAGAAACAAGGTCTCAAAAAGTGCGTCATACAAAAGGAAGTGATGTTTCTTTCTTCCTCTCTGAAAGAGTCTGCTGGCCACTTCCCATAGATGTGTTTTTGTACTGAAGAGGGAATAGACAGAGTAACAGCCTGGAAATGGGCAGATACAGCTTGTTCTATTGACAGTTGGATTTTATGTTGTCACAGCACAGAACGAAACATTGGACCTGATGACAACTGTCATTTCTCCTTCTGCAAAGACTCAACTAGTGACAGCTTCTCACTGAAGTCCTGAAACGTTGTATGTGGCAAAATAAATTTGGATTGACACCAAGAGATGTTACCTTTGACCATTGTTCTTCTCCTCACTTGAGGCCATTTAGTCTTCTCGACTAGTAGTGAATTGGTGACCCCTTTTATAATGGCAGAACTTAATTTCCAAACATCATCAAACACATAGTTCTTTGGGGAAAAAAAAAAAAAAGTAACTTGGGGATTTCATGAAACAATACCATTGCATTTGACCAGGGTGAAAAATCTCAAACATTGTTCTATGGTCAGTATTAGAGGCCAGAAAAGTGAGATGCATATGGTTTATTTGAGAAATGACATTGGCAACAAAATGTTTTCGTAGTGTTTATTGTTGATGATAGATTTTTTTAAATACCAAATAGCTGTTGCATGTTTGCTGTGGCTGGAAATTTCAGGTTTAGCAACAAATTATGCTGGGCCACAAAAACAGAACACTGACATAAGACTTGAGGTTTGGCCTATGTACTTTGAAGACAAGAAGACCTTAGGCAAAATCTAACCTTACTAAGAAACTTGCGCATTCTTAAAGCTGTTATCTTTAATATACGCTATCAGATTTAATGTCGTCTTATACCAGAGAGAGCGTTCATTGAGCTTGGCAGAGAAGTAAACCAGCTGGAGAAGATACTTTTAAAAATGGGGTATTTGACAAAATCCATTAATAGCTGTGTTCTGCAGAACACTATTAAAATGACTTATAAGTCGAGTTAGACTAGCTATAACATTTTTCTATGCAATGTTCTAATTGACATGTCCTCCATGATTATTAACAAATCATTCTTACATGGCCCAGCAGTGCTGGTTGCCTAAAAAAATAAGCAAGCTGCTACCACTGAGCCAGTAATAAAAATATGAAGACTAGATTCTGATAGCCAGATTTACAAGGTCTAGGATTTTTCTTTGAGATCCCTAAGACTGTTCAGATAATGCAGTGTATCTTCCTAAGTGCTGTGGTTTAACCCCAGCTGGTAACTAAGCACCACAAAGCTGCTCATTCACCCCTGCCCCCCCAAGGGGAGGAAAATGGAAAAAAAACCTTCTGGGTTGAGAAAAACACAGTTTAATAGGATAACGCAGTAAGAGAATAACAGTAATAATAAACCAAGTGATGCACAAATGCAATTGCTCACTGCATGCAGAAGTGAAAAAAACCAACCCGATGCCCAGTCTGTTTCCGAGAAGCGAATCTGCCTCCTGGCTAGCTTCCCCAGTTATATCCGGAGCATGACGTTCTATGGTAGGGAATATCCCTTTGGCCAGTCTGGGTCAGCTGTCCTGGCTGTGCTCTCCCATCTCCTTGTGCACCTGGCAGGGCGTGGGAGGCTGAAAAGTCCTTGACTTAGTGTAGACACAACAACTACCTAGCAGAAGTAAAAACATCAGTGTGTTATCAACATTATTCTCATACTAAATCCAAAACACAGCACTATACTGGCTACTGGTAATCTCAGCCGAAACCAGGACACTAAGACAATGTATTGTAGTGTGGCCTTGGGGGAAACACATACTGGAAATACTGTATAAATACTGAATAAATGCTGGTTTTCTTTTAAGGAGCAACATAAATGCAACTTTCTGTTCTCTCCTTGCTTTCCTCCAGATTCGTGGGACTCTGAAGAGTTGGACCAAGCTGTGGTGTGTTCTGAAACCAGGAGTGCTGCTGATTTATAAAACGCCAAAGATCGGACAGTGGGTTGGGACAATCTTGCTCCATTCTTGTGAGCTGATTGAGAGACCCTCCAAAAAGGATGGCTTCTGTTTTAAACTTTTTCATCCTTTGGACCAATCAATCTGGGCTGTAAAGGTAACAATCCTGCTTAGTTGAACAACTGCTTGGTCACCAAAGTGTCTGAGTACTAGTATTATCTAGCATTGATATGATCTAGATTTACAGTAACTCAGTTTCTGTTAGTGATGGTGAATTGACTGCATAAAAAGATTAAAGACACCCAAGCTTGGTCATGATATGACATCAAAGGACCATGGTACATTGTGATTAGTTATACAAATGTGTTATTCTTCGTGTATAGATGCATGCATAGACTGAGGAAAGGAGAAACATGTTAATGTAGGAAAGAAGATCAATAGCTAGAAGTTATATCAACCCATGGTCTACATCTTTAAAAAGAGATGAGGAAGAGGCCCAATTAACTGACTTCCCCAAAACAAGGAAGCAAATGCTTTGCACAACACTGGAAGATGGCTGGCAAAGTGACAAAAACTATATTAATAATTTGACTTTTTTTTTTTTTCTAATGCCTCTGAGGTTTGGGTTTGTTTGCAATGGACTTGGAACTCACTGGTCTGCTCCAGCCTTGGCTGTTCCACAAAAGGGTGACTTTGGATAGGTTGCCTTAATTTTCTCTTCTTTGAAATGGAAATAGCAAGGTTTTCTTTCCTTCATTTTGAGTTGTTCTTCAGTCTCTTGTTACTCACAGGCTGAGACAGTCTCTTCCTGTACACACAGTAGCTCCTGCAGTGACCTCTGGATCTCCCTGTAACGCATATGATTAATAGTTTTTCACACTTCTTAAAATAACTCCCTGCAAATTTGAGAGCGCTGCATTTCTTTTTCTTCCTTCCTTTAAGAATAGGCAAAAAGAAAAAAAAAATCTAATGCCTATGAGCAAAGAGAAAGACCTCAGTACCTACTGAGAGGCACGGAGAGCAACATCTGTTGGATACCCTGAAGACAAAACTTAAATGTTCTTGAGCTCTTGTTTCCCCATTAAAAACAGTGACTCAGCAGAGTTATTGCAGACATAAATTCTCTAGGAGACACCACCAGTGTAAGCAAGACATTACAAGCTACTGCCTTGCTGCAAGGTGGTCAGCAGAGCAATCTGCTTGGAAAGACTCATGCAAGAATGATGAAGGCCGTTCTCACTGGCATCAGAAGGTCTAACAAAATGGAGGGGAAGCCCTGTGGGAGCAGGTCAAGGAGCCTCACTCCTGCTCATCCCTGCAGTTAATTGAACAGTTTTAAACACAGCTATACAACTGCTATAAAAAGTCTTGCGATTTTTAATAAGGTAGAGGAAAGAATTAAAATTAACCTCAGCAACCAGGGGTAAGAGCTGCTGTTTTCTGACAGTAGCTCAGCTCTGATCTGTGCGTAGATGCATTGCTTTTGCTTTTAAATCCCAAAGGTTTCATTGCTACCTTGCTTCTTATTCAGTTTTGAGAGTTTTGATGCTTTTTTAATTCAGAGCGTGCACCCAAGAAAGATGTTGATCATTTGCTGTCCCATCAACAAAAAATACCTTGTGAGTTGACAGGTCAACTGAATTCTTCTGAAAAGTACAGTCAGGAGAAAAAGTAGAATCAAAAGTGCAGTCAGGTACTAAAAAGTAGTGTCACTGGCAGATCTGAAGTGTTAAGCTAGAATGCCCTTCCCTTGATATGAAACATGCAAAAGGAAGAGGAGTTTTTATCAATATGTTTATGAATTTGTGCATGTGTATGTATATCTAATTCTTGTGTCTCTTGAGAAAATATATGGCAGAAATAAGAATTAGCATATTAAATATGAAGGGAATATATCTCTGAGAATGTTTGTGTACTAGAGGAAGTCCCAAAAGGTTTGAATTTTAAAGTCAAAGTAATATTCTAAGTCACTTGAGACAGATATTTAGAAAGCTACACTTGAGCTGCATAGTAGGATATTTCCTGAAACCTGCGTTCAGCCTAGATTGTTATGTGTGATAGATGCTTTCAGCCACAAGGTGAACACCAAAATACACATCAAGAAGAAATCCAACAATGAACTGCTTGATGTCAAAGAAGCTGTCTGCACTCTGACTACAGTTTAAGGCTGAAACTGCTAAAAATACTGTTTTGTTTTACGTCATTTCATGGCCTTCTTTTAAAGCAACTGGAGCAGAATTGGCTGACCTGAATTGGTTATGTATAACTGTGCAAAGAAAGCCTATTTCTCATTAAATATAGATTAGCCAGAACTGAAGCAAGAACCCCAAGTTACCGTCCATCATGACAGAGATAAGATCTGGCTAAACAACCTTCACTTTTGACTAAAATGGCTTGTGAAATTTTCAAAGATTTTCCAGACTAGAGTTGATGGTCCAGTTTTGACTCACATCAGTGGACTTCCAGCTAACTCAGGGTAATTAATGAGCACCTTTGTACGTGTTGGCCTGGCTGCTCAGCAAATGTTTGGATCTAACTGTGGGGTTCAGCCCTGGAACAAATGTCTGGTTCAAGCACTGCCCTAGACATTTATAGTTGTGCTAGCCAATTAAATTTGATGTGCAGGCATTTAACTTCAGTTAGAGCAGGATGAAATTTTTGGGCGCCTTTCGTATGATAAGTAGGTAAGATGTAAGACCGTTGCTTATAGTTGAAAGCTAAATATATGCCCAGGTAACTGGTTTTCTTATAAAGCTCTCAGGTGTCTAGAGCTATCTTAGAAGCATATTGCTGAGGGGAGAGAGTTCTTTATTCTACACTGCTTCCCTGGCTTTTTGAGAGTTTTAGCCTGAAACTCCTTCACAGTGTAAATGGATTGGACCTTTTACTTTTTTGCTCTGTCCAGGCCTTTGTAAACCCAAGGCTAAAACTGCCAAGGTCTCAAAATCAGTCAGCAGCGCAAGCAGCAGTAAGAAAAGCTTTCCCCACACGCTCTGAATATTGATGCAGAGACATTTTGTCCATTGTGTGAAGGCAGTTTGATCCCACCTGCTTCGGGAAAGAGACTTTTTGCTGAGATGACTGAAGGAGACTGAGGAATGCCAACCTAGTAATCAGTGCGAGGGTGTGAGTGTCTGTCCTCTTGCTTCGCAGAGGGAGTATAGGGCTATCAGCTGGCAGGGTTTGCCCAGCTGTCCCAAAACAATGTCCTGGAATAGTTCGTATTTCCCTTTGAGCTTGCTCAGAAGCTAGCTGAACAGCGTGGTGTCAGAAGGCTTTTATTGACTGCAGCCTGTTCTGACATTTATTCAGAGTGCTAAATGAGTTGAGGTCAGACCCACTGAATCTGGGTGTATATATATAATTTGAATTTTGTTGATGTTAAGAACTTTTGAGTCATTCCTTTAAAGAAAAAAGTTCTAGTAATGGGCTTGTGCTGCTGCTTTTACAGTTGTTTGATCTACTCCATATACAACACAATTAGTTTCATCTTCATCCTTACAGTTATCCACAGTACTGTTAATGAAAGGGATTTTTTCCCCTTTTATAAGCTTTATTTTATGACTCTCCAAGACTAGATGTCTTGTCATACTATCTAAAATAGTATAAGTCCACCCCATTTTTCAAAGCCTAATCAACCCCTGTTTGATAATGCCTTTTGAGTCTCAAATCAAATGTAAAGACAGGAATCATCTGAAGATGATCCTTTCTTAGTTGTACTGTTTAGAGGCTGCAGCTGGGCTCTGGGTCCTAATGTACCAAGGATAACATTCACTTTTAGTGAGAGATGGTCATTGTCTTGGAGGTCTTAGATTCTAAACAGCCATAATACTCAAAGACTGGGAGACAGAAAGCATCATTATCTCTGCTGTGCAGATACAGAACCTCATTTACTCTCTGGAGATGTTGACTTTATTTTTATGGCCTCTCTTTCCTTCTTCTCCTCTTCTTTCTGTGGCAAACAGCCCCCCATGTATGAGTATGCCTTACTGTTGAATACATTTCCTTGACAGAGTGACCTGGCTGCTCCTTGTGTTTATCCACATGCCTATATGCCTGTTAAAACCTCCTTCATTTCTCCCCCCCTTTTTAGGTAATGGTTCTCTGGATCTGTATTGTTTGGTTGTGGGGTTTTTCGTCCAACAGAGCAAATATCAGCCTCTGCACTGAAAACACAAATACTGGTGTTATCAACAGTTCTTGACCCCCCTGCTCAGCTGCAAGCTACTGAAAGGAAAAATGCCATTGGGAATGATGCCTGATTGCATTAATGTCACTAGTAATGTCTTAAGCTGCTCTGCTCTGGTTTACTAATCAAATCTCAACTTTGCCAGTCCTGACTATTAAGCCAGTCTTAATTCTGTGAACCTCTTGTGGGAGAGGGGAGGGGGAAAAAGAAGTGAGTAACAAGGATCCCAGTTTCTCCTGGCAGTGGCAGAACCCCACAGATGTGAAGACAGAAAGCTGGACTGGAGACTGATGTCTTCTCAGCACTGCATTTTCATTGTGTAGACTCAGATACAATTTGATGCTTGTCCTATGCTTGCACTCCATTCTTCCCAAATGTTGGTTTCCTGAGTGGAACTCAAAACCAAAAATCCAGATAAAACCACCATTTAACTACCAGACACTTGTATACAGGAGCAGTTTTCAGTAGCAGTCACCGTTTCCTTGCTTACGAACTAGTACTAGGGAGAAATCCTTCTTTCAAGGAGCAGGATGGGATAAAGGCCCATGTAAGGGAGGAGAGTCATGCTCAAACTGCAAAAATTTGTCTACAGATTTTCAGCATTGTGTGATATTCTCCAGAAACTCAAGGAAATCTGTATTTAAGCATCCTGGAGAAAACTGCTTGTTCCACCCTGCCATTGGCATAGTGGTCATGCGAGTATTGGTGATGTGTTCTGCTCTGCATTTATTTCTGACATGATGTCTGCATATTTGAAAAGTGATCTGCTTTCATGTTGTTTGTTATGAAGTGAGGAAGAGAAGGAACTGAAGGAGGCTGTGTCACTTTGGAAGTGCAAGGGAGGAGGAGGCACTCCTATTTATTTCAGCCAGGTCATGGCATAAAGCCCGTTTGTATGGGTATTTGAAGAGAGTATGAAGCTGTGCTCCCCGGGTACAGGAACTGCTTTTTCTTAACAGCTTCTGGAGCTCAAGAAAGGAGAAGACACAGAGGAGATCAAGGTGGCATCCTGTGGTTCTGCTCAAAGAAGTGCCTAATCCAAGATGGTCTCTGCCTCCCTGGGAATCATTTCTGGAGTGTCATGCTGAAGGGATTGTGGCAGGATGTTTACAAAACACTATAATCCTTTTTGCCACAGCTCATAACAGCAACGTAAACAAGCAAAGCGTCACCCCAGGCACCATGGCATAAAGGTTCTCAAGGGGTCTGGATGTAGAGGTGAAGGACTGCAACCCAACAGCACATGCTCATGCTGGGAGACCTTTGATCCTCAGCCTGTGGTTTTCCCTGTCTCCTCCTTTGACACATACAGGTTTGCAGGATGGAGTTTCCCTTTGTTTCCTTCCAGAAAAGCTGCCATTATCTCTGTACTAGAGGGCACTCACAGCACAAGGTGTGGGCTCTGCCACTTATATGGTGACACATAAAGGGTGTTTCATTGCAGTTGTGTCAGGCTGCAGACAGACTTGACGGGCACCGCATGGAACAGTCTGTTTAGGTGTTGCACAAAGATAGCTACTAGCAAATATTTGACTGTTTTTGTCCCAAGTGACAGTAATGAGATTCTTCCATTCCTGAGGATCTAAATAAACAGAGTAGGTTTTGGGGCTGAGCAGAGGTTAGACCAAGCCCCATTTACATCAGAGCTCATTACTGCTTTGGAGCTATGGCAGCAATATCGTGATTACTAATGAGTCTTTCTAAATTACTCCATCTGCTCCTTCCTTCTTTCCTATCACAAACATACACACTCTGCCCTGGAGGAGTAGAAAGATGTTGGATGGTCCATTGCATCTTCTGTGCCTTATGTCTTTTTGTCTGTGTGTATTTCCAGGGCCCAAAGGGAGAAAATGTTGGTTCGATCACTCAGCCTCTTCCCAGCAGCTACTTGATTTTCAGAGCAGCCTCCGAATCGGATGGTAAGTTTTGGTCTTCATTTGCTTTCTCTAGATTTCATGCTCTGTGCTAGTTAAGAAAATAGGTTGATGCAAAAAAAATTGGTATGTAAAGGCAAAATTGGCAGCTCACCCAGCTTCAGATGCCGTTTGTTTAGCAATGGTCAGAATAGGTCAAGTAGACTACAGGCACGTTTCATATTCCTCACTGAACAGCCACCTTTCTGGCCATGTGTATGGAAGAAGGACCTAGACTTGTAGCTGGGGAAAAACTCTAAGTCAGTATATACGAAAGGATGAAAGATGCTGATCCTAAAATTGGGATGAGGAGGGGCTTAACTGTTTCCTCAGTTCAGCAGAGACTTAAGTGGGTTATCTGCCTGCATCTTACACTACGTAGGGATCTGTTGGAGGACAATGACATAGTAATGTTGAAGAACTGTTGATAGATGTCTTTTAACCACCAGAATTCTCCTGTAAACTTGCTGTACCATAGTTATATATATAGTATAGCAGGCCCAGATGCTGGTGACTCCACATGAAAAATATCATTCTGGGAATTCACAAAATTATGGAAGGTAAATTTAGGTCAACATATGACAGGCATGCCAGCTTGCTATGTGAAAATCTCTATAAATTACTTTAACAGACCTAAAATATCAGTGATTTCTAAGTAGATAAGGAGATTAAAAACATGTTTTCATTCCATTTGACCTTCAGAGTACTGTAAACTGGTTTTGCCATAGCAAATTAACACAAGCTGTTCATTTTATTGATATTTTTCACCTACCCTGCCAAGGGTGCTCATGTAGCCAATTTGCTCCTTTGGGTCTCATCTAGGGTAACTTTAAGGACATAAGGATTTTTTATGGAGCACAGTGGGCTTTGAAAGCAGTGTCCTTCTGGTCCAGTGATTAAATTCTACATATTCCTAAAGGCTGGAAATGGGGCAATGCCAAACACACCTTTGACATGGCACTTAAAATAGGAGGAAACCTTCTTTCATTACAGGCTTGGCAGGCTGTTCATAGTGAGGGATACCATCTCGACACTGAAAGCTGCTTGCAGATGTCAGTGTAGTGAAATGATATGAAAATAAGTGGAACTCATACAGAGCCATAGAAGCACATCTATTTCTTTGAATATTATGCTTTTGTAGCTTACGGAACAGTACGGTTTATTTGTGTAAAGGAATACGCGATTCCAAACTGGCTCCAAATATCACCTGTCTAGAAAGGGATAGATTGATACAATAGTCTCTTGGGGGGAAAAAAGTGGTTTTGGGGTAGAGCAGCTAAATTATAGGCATTTCAAACCCTGGTTATACAGACAACCCGCAGAATAGATATATGGAACAGTCCCGCAGAGTTCTTAGGCAACCAAATAGCTTCAACAACTATCAATCCAGATTTTCTAAATTATTATTTCCTTAGAGATCCATGTAACTTGTCTTTCCATTAACTTAATTAGAAAATGCACAAAGGGACCGATGTGGTCATTGTATGTGTTCGAGACAAATTGCTGTCTCATTAAGTACTTTTTTCCTGGCATTTCAGCTATCTTCTAAATGAAGACTTTCATTCTGGTGGAAACCTAATGATTAAAACCTAAAGCCAGCCTGGCTTAGAGACCTGTGGCTGAACTTCTACTCTCTCATTTTACAACAACTTCCATAAGCCAGTTATGTGGAGTAGAATAGCTTTAGGGTTGTTCTAACTAACTTTACCCATAAAGGCTCCCAAGCTAGCAATAGCTCCCAAGAGATCATCAGAGGTAAGACTTTTCTAGCTGTGATCTCTCTGTCTGGGTCATATACCACAAACTGAAAAAGCACAAAAGGGACCATATCGGGCACATGAGAATTTTCAATATTTAAATGCCTGTGGGAAGCTTTCTGCCCAATGACTTATTACATGTCTCTGGTATCATAAGAGCTTAAAATAGTGAGCTACTGGAACATATTTTTAAAGCCAAGATATTGGCCAAGATTCTTGGGAAGCATGCAGAGGCCAGACAGATCAAAGTAGAGTTACTTTAGGATTTAGTATGATTTTCCTTTACTTTGCTGCTTCTCTACAGTAGGGTCTTAAGGTTAGATGGAAAGCTAACGTGATCAAGGGAAGGAGGAGGAACTGAGATGACTCTCTAATCAAATATCATAAATGTGTACACAGAAAATAACTAGGGCCTTTGGTTAAGGATGAAATAATATATGCTCTTGAACAGTGCTAGCAATGCCCTAGAGCCACCTGTGCAGGCTTGGAGCACCCACATTATGCCTGGTAGATCCTGCGAGTCTGAGGAGGTGACCATGACAGCTGACTTGAAGTGAAGCTTTGGGAACTGTCAATTTAGCAGTGGACTTCACCAAAAAAAATTGATATAGTATTGCACCAGAAATACTAGCATGAAAAATGGTGTAATTTTCAGCTGAATGAGAGTATTTGACTTTACAGCTGAGGTCAGTGAGCTGTGAGAAGTGGCTGTATCTTGTGCAGGAAGGGAAGGATGTCAATCTACAGACAAAAGGGAAGAACAGCTCATACACTCAGGCTAGCCTCCCTCCCAAACACAAGAACTGACCTGGCACGATGACTGTGCTATGCTCCTTTTGTTTCTTAGTTAGTCTTCATAGGGGCAGTTTGGGGGTATCCACTCCATTGAGTGGTGTGGATGTACTGACAAATGGCCAAACACATGGGTGTCACACTTGGAAATGAGTGACTTACGATGGTGTTACAGCGTTGGTGGATAAGGGAAGAGCAACTGATGTCATCTACCTGGACTTGTGCAAAGTATTTGACACTGTTTCGCACGGCATTCTTGTGTCTGAATTGGAGAGACATGGATTTGACTGATGGACCACTCAGTGGATAAGGAATTGGCTGGATAGTCACACTTAAAGAGGTGCAGTCAATGGCTTAATGTCCAAGTGGAGATCAGTGATGAGTGGTTTTCCTCAGGGGTCGGTACTGGGACTAGTGCTATTTAACATCTTTGTCAGCGATATGGGCAGTGGGGTCGAGTGCACCCTCAGCAAATTTGCCCACAACACCAAGCTGTGTGGTGCGATTGACGTGCTGGAGGGAAGGGATGCCATCCAGAGGGACCTTGATAGGCTTGAGAGGTGGGCCTGTGCAAACCTCATAAAGTTCAACAAGGCCAAGTGCAAGGTCCTGCACGTGGGTTAGCACAATCCCAAGCACAAACACAGGCTGGGCAGAGAATGGATTGAGAGTAGCCCTGAGGAGAAGGACTTGGAGGTGTTGGTGGACAAGCAGCTCAACATGAGCCGGCAATGTGTGCTTGCAGCCCAGAAAGCCAACCGTGTCCTGGGCTGCATCAAAAGAAGTGTGACCAGCAGGTCAAGGGAGGTGATCCTGCCCCTCTACTCAGCTCTTGTGAGACCCCACCTGGAGTACTGCCTCCAGCTCTAGGGGCCCCAGTAGAGGAGAGACAGGGAGCTGTTGGGGCCCCAGTAGAGGAGAGACATGGAGCTGTTGGAGGGAGTCCAGAGGAGGGCCACGAAGCTGATCAGAGGGCTGGAGCACCTCTCCTATGAGGACAGGTTGAGAGAGTTGGGATTGTTCAGCTTGGAGAAAAGGCGGCTCCAGGGAGACATTATAGCAGCCTTCCAGTACCTGAAGGGGGCCTACAGGAAAGCTGGAGAGGGACTGTTTACAAGGGCTTGTAGTGATGCGACAAGGGTTAATGGCTTTAAACTGAAGGAGAGGAGATATAGATTAGATGTTAGAAAGAAATTCTTTACTGTGAGTAAAGTGGTGAGACCCTGAAACAGGTTGCCCAGAGAAGTTGTGGAGGTCCCATCCCTGGAAGTGTTCAAGGCCAGGTTGGATGACGCTTTGGGCAACTTGGTCTAGTGGAGGGTGTCCCTGCCCATGGCAGGGGGGTTGGAACTAGATGATCTTTAAGGTCCCTTCCAACCCAAACTGTTCTGTGATTCTATGACTTGGAAACAGTATTAATGTCAGTAGGTAGTATAAAACATGTGTAGACAAGAACAGAAGGAATAGAAACTGTTACATTTAAAGAAATCTATATAAACCATAGCAAATTAAGGCTTGTACTTTGTGATTAATACAATTTGATTTTAAGCCCAGAATACACTACTGAAATGGTTGTAGATTGTTACATAGCTTTACCTGTTGTAAAGAGAGCATCTCCAGGAGGGTGTACCTGGGTTTGTTTCGTTTCTTTAATGCACTGGACAAACATAGAGGATGCCGTTACGGTCAAGAGAGACAGGAGATTAAGGTAAAATGAACTAAGCTAGCTGACACAAATGCTTGCGTAATGTTAGCATATATTTGTAGTATGTTCGCATCTCCTCCATAGATGCAATATTGTGTGAATCTACAGCATCTCTTAGGAGGTGTCCTGACCATGTTTTTCTTAACGCAGTCTCCCATGTTACTAGTAGAAAATGAACCACAGACCATTTGGCAAATTTAACAGTAATTCATGGAGGCCTCTGACTTGCTGGGAAATATTGAGTTGCAGCATATGTTAGATGTACAGTTCTGCTATCCAGGCAACTATATCATGATCAGCAGCTACATGGCCTACTTTTTCTCTCAGCATTTCAGAATCCCTGTTTTCCTCTCTGCTGTACCATCTGTGACAGACTGTTGGTAGGATTTAAGGTCCTGACTTCTGGACAGCCTGCAGAACCACCGCCACACTACGGTAGATTTCACATTCACAGACCGCAGCAGCAGTCTGCTCTGTGATGTGTTTTAAAGACATCTGGAAGGTCATGTCAGCCTACAGGGCTCAACCTGTACAAACACAGGGTCTGTCTTTCTTACCAGTTTCAGAAAAGAAAATTGCTTTTTCCAAACCAGTGACTGTGTATGCATTTCAGATTTATGCTGATGAGTGGCTTAGAATTAGTAGTTTAAACTTGTCCCAAGCTTTCTGCTCGGACCATTCTGGGGCTGCCCCTGAGATCTCCAAACCAGTGCCCCAGACCTCTTAAGCAGTTTGAGTCACCTGCTTAAGAT